GGAATCAAACCCAGAACCTTCTTGCTGGAAGGCAGCAGTGCTAACCACTGCACCAATGAGCAATTAATGTAATGTAATTAATTAATTTCAATTGCATATGGGGAACAGTGGTTCTCAGGGGGCCATGGTCCTTTAAGTTTTCCATTCAACCCTGCTCCCACAAAGCCTATGAAGATCTGTATGGGGACTTTTTGATTGGAATCAGGTGTGTTGTGGCAGAGGAATGAGGTAACCTTGCAGGATGAAGATCGAGGTTACCAATCGCTGTGCTAAAGGTACCCAACCAAAGAATTTGAACTCTGGGACATTACAACATTTTAGCGCATGAGTAATCAGCCTTTCTGTGGTGGATTTGCTCAGTCGTTTACCTCATTCAGCAAGCATGATTTGGTGAAGTGCGCTAATGGTAGCATAAGCAGCTGTAACGTCCCCTGACATGTTTGTCTTTTAATAAAATGTAAAGCTGAGCAGCTTCGGGGATGAGACAATTAATTTTTGTATGATAATTACAAATCACCTTGCTGTGGTTTACAGTCCCATCTTCAACAGCTTTAGGTGCATAACAACTAGGGTTGCCAACGGTCCTTTAAAAAAACGGAATCGTTCCGTATTTAGAAATAGAAGTACTTGTCCTGTATTTAGTGCAAAAGGAACGCACTTTGTCTCGTATTACTGTGAGAGTAAAAAAATTAGTCAGTAAAAAGCTAATGGAATATGAAGAACAAGGGCATGTTAGATACAAAACTTGCGGTAAAGTTGTTCCTGGGCCCCGTCCTGCGTTGTGACCAATGCACTGATAACATACATATAATAATCCAGAATCCCCTCATGTCATTGGTCGAGCCAAGTGTTGCTCACGGAGAAGAAAGCGGGAGACAACAGAGCAACATGGGGGATGAACGGGGTAATTAAAATGCTGACGCTGCTTTTGGGGGCGGTGCACCAGTGTTGTGGTCAAGACCACCTAACCCGAGATCAAGACAAGACCAAGGACTAGAGTGTATTGAGACCGAGACAAGACCAAGACTTTTAGGGTCCGAGACCAAGTCAAGACCAAGACCAGCGCCAGTATGTGACAATAAAATGTG